CCTGCATGAGTCCCTGCGTGTGCCAGGCGTCAGTTGTATGGAGGAGAGAAGGGCCGAGCCATCCTGGTGTGATGGATGTGGGTGCAGGTCTGCACAGACCTTGCATTTTCTGTGTGTGCACAAGTTGCATTTTTTCAAGTGGCACTTCCCTAAAAGGCAGATGTCCTTTGTTCCAGACAGACCTGTCAAAAAAAGCACTTACAGTGTTCTTCAGGTTAGTTACTGTGAGGCCCAGAGGTATTTTATAGTACTTGAAGATTTGTAATGTGTGAAATAAAATTAGGTAGATGTTAGTCCTACTCCGGCTATTATAATGTTGTGTGCTACTTCTGGTTACATTTGTTCATCTCTGGCAGGCTCCCTCCTTTCAGGTATGTGTTCTGCTTTTGTTTCTTATATCTGTTCCTGCCCTACTCTGGAGAAGAAGCTACAAGCAAAGTCTGCTTTGGCACAAGATGTCTTTGGAGAAGACATCTTGTGCTGTTGCAAAGTATGCAAATGCTGTCCTGTTAGCTTGAGGACATAGTGAAAGCAGAGTTCATGGAAAAAAGGGTCATATTCTATTTTATGCAAGGTTGTGTAGAGGCCATGTGACTGGATTGATTTGTTTCAGTTTGGCCAGTTTGAAGCAGGACTGGCAAGATCCACAGCCTGTGTCCTTGCTGCTGTTTTGGCCTCCTGAGCTGCTGTAGTTGCTTGTGCTTTGGGAATTTCAGGATGGAAAGCTTCTTTGTGCAAGGAAGTCCTGACCTCAAAACAGTGTGCAAGTGAGTGGAGTTGTGAGCAGCATCCCCAGAAATCCTGGGCTCAAACCAGCCTCATAGTTAACTGGCACAGACTCAAGGGCACTGTTCCAGTAGTGGTGCCAGCATTTACCTGCAAGAGTGGCTGAGCATTCACAGCACAGGTTGACTGAGACAAGTCCTGAAAGTGACAGACTGTCTCTGCCCCATTTCCCACTTCGGGGTGAATTATTGTCCATGTGCAGTTTCTGTTTTTCTGTTACCCTCCCTGTCCCTCCATTTACCCAAGTCATAGCAAAGCACATCTGTGTTCCCAGGGTTGCACTTAAAGGTCTTCGATTTTTCCTTTTCTGTTGGGCATCTGCACTGCTGTGGCAGATCCATGTTGCCTTGACATGATGTCCTGCCTCCTGACAGTGGCAGAGTTTGGGTGCTTACTGGTGTTGGTACTCCACGCAGTATCATGTAGTGAAGCCCCACTATGACGCTGCAAATGGCAGTTCCCTTGTGACTGCCCAGGTCTATATCCACCTCTGTAGCGCTCCATGGTATTTTCCTTGGATGCTTTTGTGACCACAGCTTCTGGGACTTGCCACCATGTAGTATTGGGTGGAAGGGGAACAGTATGTTTGTCCTCCCTGTTCTATCACACTTACATGACAACAGGGGCATGCTGAAGGTAGCTGCAGCTGTAGCAGGTTCTTTCTGTCCTCCCAGGCCTTCTGTCAGAAACTGTGGCACTGTTTATAGCAGCAATCACTCAGTAAATCCATCTCATGACTATGTTGCTGTGGGGCTGCAAGCCCCCAGAAGTGGGAAGAGACCTTCCTGGTAAGGCTGCCTGCAGAGATCCTTGAAGCTGGAAAGCAGCAGCACAGATGAGAACAGGTTCAAATCCTTGATGATCCACTTGCTCAAAGCAGCAGGAAGCATTTGCTGCTGGCCACCACTGGGCCCTGCTGCTGAGCACTGTCCAAGGGCCAAAGAGCAGATTGGGATGGCATAGGCCTTACCAAGGTAAGGTGAATGGCAAGGAGGGGCAAGCCTTCCCTTTGTTGTGATACAGCGGTGTGTGGGAGTGAGATCTAACTGATTGCTCTATAGCTATGCCTGGGGACTTGGCAGCTCTGCATGGCTGGTCATGCATTTGTGAAGGGCCAGGCTGCTGGTGTGGCTGGGAGGCCTCTTCCTGGGAGCAGGTTTCTAGAAGCTGAGGAACATGAGGCCTCACAGGCAGCTGAGTTTTCCATACCTGCATGCTGGAGAGAAGTGTGTTAGCCCTGCCACTGTTTGTGTTCCATCTCATCGTTGGAAATATAAGACCATCATGATCTGTTTGAGCAAGCAGCTCTGCACAGGATGCTTGTCTGATTGCAGGGCTCAAATCTGATGATTCCTGAGTTCAAAGCTGGTGTTAGCACTGCTTCTATAAAATCACAGAATATTAAGGGGTTGGAATGGACCTTAAACATCATCTAGTCCCAACCCCCCTCCAATGGGCAGGGTCACCTCCCACTAGACCAGGTTGCTCAAGGCTTCATCCAGCCTGGCCTTGAACACTGCCAGACTTGGAGCACCCACGGTCTCCCTGGGCAATCTGTTCCAGTGTCTCACCACCCTCACAGTAAAAAAGTCTTCCTAATATTTAATCTAAATTTCCCCTCTCTCAATTTTTACCCATTACTCCTTGTCCCATCACTACAGTTCCTAATTAAGAGTCTCTCTCCAGCTTCCTTATAGGCCCCCTTCAGACAGATACTGGAAGGTTGCTATGAGGTAACCTTCTCTTCTCCAGGCTGAGCAGCCCTAACTTTCTCAGCCTGTCTTTGTAGAGGAGGTGACCCAGCATCTCTCTTCTCCGATTCTTACTCCCTTTTGCTTGCAGTGTATCTAATTACTCTACAGCTGATTGTTTCCAGGTCTTAATGTGCTATACACTGCCATGACCTCGTCAATCTCAGGAGCTCATTTTGATGTCTATGCTCCCAGTAAAAGCTGCTGCTCTCTAAGGGGCTGCAGAAGAACACCTGCAAGCATGGCATCTGCGTGTCTTCTGTGGGACTAGTCTTCGGAGAGGAATCTATTAAACAAGTGTAGCAGCAGCATCCACAAAAGACCTTGAGTGTCTGTGTGTTCCCCTGACTTCTGAAGCCAAATGCACTCAAGGAGACTGATGTGGCTACCACTAACAGCAAGACTAAGACAACATCCAGATGAAAGACCAAATTGTGAGGCTGGATGTATCTAGACTGTCAACTGTCTTTATACCATGTGTTTTGTTTCTCAAGTAATCAGGAAAATAAGAAAAAAATAGACACTGCCTGCTGATCTGTCCTGTTTCTAGTTATCAGGTTGTCTTCCAAGCGAGCACATCTTGTGCAGGAGGTTGCTAGGAGTGTGTGGAATGCATGTTTATTTTAAGTATAGGTCTTATAAGCAAATGAAATCCTATTCAGAGACAGGAGAATTATATTAAGCAATTTTCTTTCCAATTTTAGGTCTGAGAAGAGACTGACTGTCCCACCACGGTTTCAAAAGGAGTTGCAAGTTCACCTGTCTAGAAGTTCTTCCACAGAATCAAGTGGTATGCCCATTAAGAAAATTTTTGTTGACTACCCACATTAGATTGGGAATCATCTTAAGAAAAATCCATTTAAATACTTGTTTTCAAGGAAGATAGGTTTGGGTGAGAAACCAAGTTCCATGAGTAAACCTTCTCACTCTGATTTCATTGTGCTGAGCAAATGTGTTTACTCGTCTGCCTCTCAGTCTTCTAGCTAAAACCTTGGGTAGTAAGTGTCAAAACCAATCACAAAGCTAGTGTGAGTAGCTTGGAAACCAGAGGAGTAAGGTTAACTATACTGCCAGGGTAGGGATCTGGTATACAAGTAAAATCCTGGCTTTCAGGAGTAAGCAGCACACTAATGTATGTATCCAGGAAATACCCTTCTGCCTGCCTGTCTCACAACAGTTGTGCAGTTGATGGGCTTGACAAAGGATAGTTGCTTCCTTTGAGACCTGTCATGCTGAGTTGTGATGCTTCAGGTCTGGTAGCAAAGAACCCCTCCAAAGGGAGGAGAGGAGTAGAGGGGAGCAGGCTGGTGATGTGAACCTCCCCATGGGATAATGACTGCCTAACTCCTACACACGATGTGTGAACCCTCCTAGAGCAGCTGGACAGTAGTCTC